ACCGCCCCCTGCCTTCCGGGAGGGAGCTTCCGAGCGGGCGCTTCCGGGAGGGCGCTTCCGGCGCCCGCGCGCGCCCGCGGCGCTTCCTTCCTGCGGTTCGCGCGCCCGAGGCCTCTCCCTGCCTGCGCGCTCCCGTCCTTCCCCCTCCGGGAGGCAGGCGCGTCCCCGCCAGGCAGCAAGCGGTCTGAGGCGCGCAGCCTACGGAGGAGGCGCTGGAGCTGCCCGGCACAGCTGAGGAGGCCGAGATTTAGAGAGCTTGAAACTCATACTTTACGGGTGTGGTGGCACACGTCTAGAATCTTAGCACTCCTCGAGGCTGAGGCGAGAGGATCGCTAAATTCAAGGCCAGTCTGGACAGCTTGGCGGTATGGCGAGACCCTGTCTTAAAAAAAAAAAAAAAAAGGTGGAGATACAGCTTGGTGCGAAAGCCCTGGGCTCGCTCCCCAGTACCACAAAAACAAAAACCATCCTTGACATCATCAAGGTGATCCTTTTGAACAGAGGTGTCATCTAGGTCTAAATTTTTGTTTTACAATGTAGTCAAGAAAAAATTAAAATTATGAGGCATGCTGAGAGAGAAAACAACAGATTTCTTCTATCAGATAAAGACTTAACAATAACTGTGATTTATATGAGGAAAATAGAAGATGAAGACGTTTACCAGAAAACTGCAGTCTGTGAAAAAAGTGTCAAACGGAGATTCTGAGAAGTACTATAAAAACTAATGACTAAATAATTTGTGTTTAATAGCAAATTGAACACAGCAGTACAGAGGATTAATGTAGGACAAGTCTGTAGATGTCCAAACTGAAACATGGAGAGAAAAAAAGAGTAGAAAACACAGCTAAGAACAAATGGTTTCCTCATGAGCCAACATGAATGAACCCATTATGGGTGAATCCATATATAATGAAATCGTAGCAAGAAAATAGAGAATGAGACAGAACAGCATTTAAAGAATCAACTGGCTGGAAATAGTGTCAAACTGTTGAAATACATCAAACTACAAGTTCAAGCTGTTGCTACAAATCCCAAGACCAAATAAGTGAAAACAAAGCAAAAAATTGCCAAGGATATAACAAAACGCCCTTCAGGAAGGTTGAGGATCTGGCGCAGTGGTAAAATGTTTTCTGAGCATGCATGAAGCCCTGGGTGCAGTCCTAGCACTGCTGAGGGAGAAAATGAGATCAAAATCAGACAAAAACTGTACAGGAAAGGAAAACTACATGCGAATGTCCCTGCTTAATATAAACGCAAAATTTCTTGACAAAAGGTTAGCAAACTATATCCATCAACACAGCAAAAGTATTATGAACCATGATCAAGAGGGATTTATCCCAAGAATGCAGTTTAACATCTGAAACCAATCAATGGAATGCACCACCATATAAGTTGAATAGAGGACAAAAGATGTATGATTATCTCAAGGTATTCAGAAGAAACATTTAACAAAATCCAACATTCTTTCATTAAAAAATACTCAAACTAGGAACAGAAGAGAGCTTTCTTACCCTGACAAAGGGCACAAAAATGATTCATAGTTAATCTTATAACTAACGGGAAAAGGTTGAATATTTTCTCCCTACGATCAGTAATAAGACAAGAATGTCAGCCCTCGCTGCCTGTATTCAACATTGTACTAGAGTGTCCAGCCAGTCAATAAGGCAAGAAAAAGAAATAGAACATATCTACAATGGAAAGAAAGAAGTAAACCAATCTAAATTTGCAGAATACATAATCTTGTATTCAGAGGATCAGGATTTTCTACACACATACATGTACACATACACAAAAACTACTATAAGAAATAAGGTTGAAGACTGCAAGATGTAAGATACAAAAATCTATTGCATTTCCATATGCTAGTAAGGAATAATCCAAAATGAAATTAAATTGTTTCATTTACAATAGCATCGGGGCTGGGGATTTAGCTAAGCGGCACTGTGCCTGCCTGGCAAGCGCAAGGTCGTGAGTTCGATTCCCAGTACCAGAAAAAAAAAAATGCAATAGCGTCAAAACTTCAGTACTTAGTAATAAATTTAACCAGTACACAAGTTATAACAAACTGACAGAACATTGTTGAAAAACATTTAAAATCTAAATAAATAAGAAGTATCTTAGTTATTTTTCTTTTTGCTGAGACAAAATACCCAACACCTAAAGTTAAAGGAGGAAAGGTTTATTTAGCTTACAGTTTATAGAGGTTTCAGTCCATAGTCAGCTGGCTCCAAGAAAGGGCGGCATTGCAGAGAAGAAACAGTCTGTGGCATGGCAGGGCAAGCAGAAAGCAGCAAAGCAAGCAGCAGCAGCAGTAGCCTGCCTCTCTGTTTTATCCTTTCAGTATACCCACCTTTTAGGTGGTGCCATCCACATGCAAGGAAGGCCTTCCCATTATCCACACTCAGGTCTATGCTAAACTAACAAGTGGATTAATTTAGTAATTACACACCTTTAATCCCAGCATCATAGAACCTAGATCCAGTCACCTCCAAAAAGCCCCACCTGTAGGCACATGAGACTTTGCGGGGGGGACATCTAGATAGAAGCTGTAACTAGAAGATACACCATGTTCATGAATCAGAAGACTTAATATTGTTGGGATAGTGATGCTGTCTAAATTGATCTACAGATCTAACATAAACTTTATCAGAATTCCCGCTGGCCTTTTGCAGAAACTGATAAGCTGATCTTAAAATTCATATGAAAATGCAAAGGACCCTCAGTAGCCAAAACAATCTTGAAAAAAAGAACCAAGTTTCTTGTTGATTTCAAAATTTACTACTAAGCTACAGTAATCAAGACAGTATGTATTGGCATAATAATAGCATTAGTCATATTTCTGTTACTTAAAATAACCTGGGGTGATAAACTTATAAAGAGGAAAGGTGGATTTTGGCTCACAGTTTGGATGTTTAAGCCCATAACAAATTGGCCCCATTGGCTTGAGCCTATGACAAGGCAGCACATCATGATTGCTTACTCAAATCAAACCCATTTGCCACAGGACTAGGAGGAAAAGACAAGACTAGGGTCACAAAGTCCCCTTTGAGGGCATGTCCCCAGTGACCTAAAACCTTCCCATTAACTCAACCTCCTAAAGGCTCCACCACCTTTTAATAGCACAAGGACAAAGTTTTTAACACATGAGTCTTTGGGACATATTTCCAGTTCTAAACTATAACTGATAGACATACTGATCAATGCAAAGGAATTTAGAGCCCATCAATAAATTCAGACATCTATAGTTAATTGATTTTCTTTTTTTAAAATTTATTTTAAAGAGAGTAGTACATGAGAAACAAACAAACAAACAAACAAACAAAATAGAACAGTAGCAGCATACCAGTATCATGAACATAACTCAAAGGAAGAACATTCAAAGTGATACAGGGTCTCAAGACAAATTAATACAAATCAACAGTGGTTGTTACATTGAATATCGCTATCCTCAACTACATTGCTCAGATTATCAGATGTAAGAATGAAAGATTGCTCAAACCATTAAAGAGAATAAGAACATAATTCTTCAATAAAACATTGGAGATAATAGAGTTTCACTAGACAAGATGGTAGGAGTTCATTTCGATTCCACTGCGTATTCTTACCTTCAAATAAGTTGCTCAGACCACCAGACACAAACATGCAAAGTCGATCAGAACATAAAAAATTGTGAGCATTAACTGTTCATTTCAATATACCATCAGACCACAGCAATACAGTCATTGCAGCTATTTATATATATTTATGTTTTGCCTTTCTTCTTTCTTTTTTCTTCTTTGCCTCATCCCAGTCATTCCCTCCTTTGAGCAATTTCTTTCCCTTTCCTATCATCTATTGTACGTTTTGAGTTTTACCTAGTCTTTCAGGTTCCTACACCAAAGAGACAATTTGATGTTTACACATGTGAGTCTGATTTATTTCATGTATGAGTATGGTCTCTATTGCATCCATTTACCTACAAAATCCTCGAGTTTATCTTTTTTATAGCTGAGTAATACTCCATTTTATAAAAATACCAGAACATTTTTATCCATTCCTTAGTGGATGGGCATCTGGGTTGTTTCCAAGATTCAGCTATAACAAATTGTGCTGCTATAAACATGGGTGCACTTATATTGCTATGGTATGATGTCTTTAATTCTTCTGGGAAAATACCCAGAAGAGTCAATTGATTTTTAACAGGGCTGTAAGACCATTCAATGGGGGAAAGAACAGTTTTCTCAACAAATGGTGCTAAGACAACTGAACAGTCTCATACAAAAGAGTGAAGGTAAACCCCTACCTCACACTATATACAAAAATTTATTCAAAGTGGATCATAGACCTAAATGTAAAAGCTAAAATCATAAAAAGCACATATTTGCATTTGAATATAATTTATTATAAAATAAAAATGATATCATACTACCCATAGTGTTCTAAAACTTTTTTCTCACTTAATACATTGTGAAAATTGTTCTATGCCAAGAAGTCCTGGAGTGAAATACTTTCATATCAAAGATTAGATGCTAAATACACTATTGTGAACTTAGATGAAGTTCCAGTTCCCATTCTAAAGTTAGCTTAACTGTAATGTCAAAACTGGTAGCTCACAGAAAACAAACCATCATACTGTATATGAATATATGAAAATCTCAACGTAATGGCAGGTAAAATTTAGCACCAATTAAAGGTGTATTAAATGCAACTAAATGTGTCTTGGTTACTTTTCTGTCATTGCTGAGACAAAATACTCAACACCCCAAATTAAAGAAGGTAAGGTTTATTTAGCTCACAGTTTGTGAAGGTTTCAGTCCATACTTGGCTGGCTCCAAGGCAGAGTGGCACATGACAGAGGGCAACAGTTCCTAGTGGCAGAAAACAGCAAAAGCAAC